GCCCACTAGTGGGCGGTAGGGACCAGGTTGACTACCATTGGCCTACAGTCACATATGTGAGATGGACAACAATAGAAATTTACTAAATAAACAAACAAAATTTCAGTTGCTGGCCACTTTATCGTAACATGTGCTCCCATCCTAGCAAATTCTCCCTCTGCCTGAAGGTAAACCAACCCCTTGTGACTGCATGGAGACAATTTGAGTTAATCCTGGACCTTTGTACCAGAAATGTTCCTGTCTGGATTTCAGTGGGTGTAATTTGGTTTGATTTGAGGCCAGTGTCTGGAGTAAGATTTAGAGAAACAGAGCGTATACATGGCAATTTTGTTGTTTATGGGGAAAATAGGAGGATAAAGAAAATGTAAGTATATACAAATAATAAAAAATGAATATAACTAATGAATGAAATGGCAATTCAGAACATCAGTTGCTTTGAACTAAAGCATATACCCACAACATTACATAAGTATTGAATCTTGTCATAATATGTGGATTCATATTGGATAGTTTTGGAGAAATTCTACTATCCAAGTGTTCACATGATTTACTTTCCCTTTTTCACATGTACAGTAGAGAAATATGTGGGAGAGACCATCAGTCTCCCACTGTTTTTTTTAAAAGGCTGTTGACCCTTGTGTGACACTTCAAATAAATCTGCTCTATTTATCTGAACACTAAGATTCGAAGAACTTCAGCAGTTATGGTTCACATTCCTTCTTCATTGTTTATCTCTTTCTTTCTTTCTAGTCTGCCTGCTGCATTCTTAATGTCATTCTCTGATTCTTTCCTCACAAGTTTGGTTTAACCAGTTGAATAACTGAGGAACACCAAACTTTCATCTATTAATTTTAGCATACCCACAATTATTTGGAATATTTCCTTTGCTGACTGCTTAATGTTTTGACTCAAAGTGCTCCATATCTCTTGTCTTTTTAATGTAATTTTATTATACTGTCTTTTGGTTGAGTTTCATATCTCAAGAATATCTGAAATAGATAAGCCCAGAAGGAAGAAGAAATGACCAGTGGTTATTTCTGTCTACTTCTAGATAGAACTGTGTGTGTCAGTTGCATAAGAATCTGATTGTGGTCAATGCAGAAGTCTCTTGTAATCTAGACAAGTTCTTATGAAAATAGGGATTTCCAAAGTCTGTTCCACACACCCCCACACACTTTTGATTAGCCTTTATGACCTGGGGAATTTTTGGAACTGAACTCTATCATATGATGGGTGTGCTGGCTGAGAAAGACTCCTTTGTGCCATGCTATTCTTGAGTGTACTTCTCTCTGTAGGTACAAGGAATTATGCCAAAATGAAGATGTAAGAAGGCCATTCCAGAACACAATCCCATTTACTATATTTATACTGCCGGTTAAACTCACCTTAACCTAAACCTGCCCGTGCATTCATCTACTCATTCACCTATGTGAATTCTAGCTTCCTCAGAACAAATATTATTTTTTAAACAAAGCATATTAAGGAGGCTGGCAAGCATACATCTATAGTTTTTGAAGAACCCAGAACAAACTGAAGGCTAAAACATACAAAGAATGGTTGCAGGACTTGGGTATGTCTAGTCTAGTGAAAGGAAAGCCTAGGGGAGACATGATATCAGTATTATCGGAGGGCATAAGACAAGATTTGTGTGTGTGTGTGTGTGTGTGTGTGTGTATGTGTATGTGTGTGTGTGTGTGT